AGCAGTGTTGAGTGGATTGTTTCATGTATAGCAATAAAACTGGAATCCTAAAGATACTTCAATTAAGTACTTTATGTTAAATGTATTTAATTTCAGATATCAATGATCAAATGCACTCCCTTCTTGTCTGCATGTGAAGTGATTATTTGACTATTGGTTATTTTTAAATGTATCATTCTGTAAGTACATAGTTCTCAAAACTTTGCAGAGTTCTTTAAACCATGCCATTTATTACCAACAAAGAGATTGTTGAAGATTAATAAAAAGTTATGTAGGCTTGTTTAATTTGCTTCCTACTTCACGTGAAATTAATAGGAGCGTGTTTTACAAAATTTAAGAAAATTAGAGAGTTGGGGAAGCTTCAGAGATATGTACATACCTGCATCCCTTTTTAAAAACGACGAATATACAGAAGATTTTCAGCAGAAGGCTGAAAATCTCCAAAGTCAGCAAACAAGGTAAATTTGAAGAATGTAGAGTTTGCTTGCTTTAGCATATCTCTGAAATCAGTGGTGGGATTCAAATTTGGGCATGGCTTGTGAGCATGGCAGGAGAAGGATGCTGTAAAATCTCCAGTCAGAGGTGGTATTTGCCGGTTCTCTGAACTACTCAAAATTTCCACTACCGCTTCTCCAGAACTGGTCAGAACCTGCTGAATACCACCTCTGCTCTGACATATTCGATGTATACAGGTGATTGTGTCAAATTTTTAAGTTCACACATCTTAAATGGATACAAAAGAGCTATTTTAACCCATATTGAATTTTTGGAACACTTCTTTCTTGCAAGCTTCTTTAAAGTTTGAAGATATAGTTTGGGTCATTTTAATTTATATTTGGTAAAGATAAAATAAGTATTTGTAGTTCAGTGTTGGACTGTGGGGTCCTTGGTGCTCTCTGAACTTAGTAGTTTTCTTGCAGACTTCTCATTACCAAACTAGGTAATACCATCAATATTAAAGAACATTTTTACCTAGTTTGGTAATGAAACATTTCAGAGAGTACCAAGGAACCCATATATTTGGTAGTATTTGTTTAATTAGGGGAAGGTGTTTCAAGAATTACTGTGTGGGGCAGTGTCAGTGACTCTAATTGCATAGAGATTATTTCCACATGGACATTATACAACTTAAGCAATACCTAGTTGTCTCCGGGAAGCATAAAATTGCTGTGTACGCAGTCAGGAAACATCATACTGCTATACTCACAGGCACAGAGCATCCCAGAGAGGATATTTATCATGAAAATGGTTCCAATCTTAACAAAGGTCTAGAGCTATAATATATAAAGTTGAAAATTATGCCATGAGCTTAAAAGGGTCATTTTTATTACTTTAATCAATAAAGTAAAAAAAAAAAAGGAGGGAGGACCACTAATAGTATCAAATGGAATTGCAAGCTGCCTAAACATATAGCATCGGCACTGACATATACATTTTCTGTCATCTTTTTTTACCTAAACAACAAGCTAAAAAATAATCAGAACATTTTTTTCTCTTACTCTAAAATCCATTTTTTTTCTGAGTGGGATCTCTACTTAATGGGAAGTCCATACATTCATTCTGAAGGTATAACATAATGGTCTTTTTTGTGACCAGACGAGTATTTTTAAATATTTTTAGCTGCCAAGGACCCCAAAGTGTATAGCAATAACAACACCACAAAAGGAGAGACTGAACATTTTCACTTTTCTCATGGGTGAAGTGGGAGTCTCAAGGTATTTAAAGGCAAAATATTACACTTGCAGAAAATCTAGCAGAGACTGAAGGCACAGTACCTACTGTCGTTCTTTATATAAGGAAAAACAAAAATTGTATTGTTGAAAATTGTTGTTTTGAAAACATAGCCTGTTCTAGGGCTGCAAAAATGAAGAGAGGTGAGTCACAATCCATGAGCTCTGAAGTTCCCATTTCTGTCACATAAAGATTCAATTGTTTATTACAGTTTAAAACCATAAAGTTTGGTGGGAAGAATTGTCTTGAAAAACAGCCTGTGCATAATCCCTATAATTATTTCTCTGATTCTAGAGAGAGTCAGAGTGATAGAGAATAATATGCCATAATTAGGCAATAATGTATGCTTGTGGACAACTATTAGGTAGCGCTGACATCACTAAATACTACATTATAGACATTAATTAAGAAGTTAGAGAAGTCTGTAGGAAGCAATACTTCACCTTCATTGTTATTTATGAATCCATCAGAGATATATCTGCCATCCATTTTCATTTCCATCGGCATATAAAGTAGTTCCAATGAGATCCAAACTACTAGTCTCTATACATTGCATTTTAAATAGTGTTATTTACCATTGAATTAAATAACTTAATGTGATGATTTGGGGCATGGCACAAAGGCAACACAGTCACATAAGTAAGAGTCTCTTCAATACCTCCAACTTTGCCCCCAATGTCAAGGTTACCTTTGGTTGGATAAAAAAACTCTCCCAAGAACAGTCTTTAAATGGATGAAATTCAGTCCAAAAACAAAGTATATATAAACTATAAATAAAAATCCACACAAATCATGCTGCAGTAATTAACTTGACAGGGCAGCATAAAGAATTGCAGACTTGAAAGACAGCAAAACATACACAGTTGGGAAGACACCAGGACCCCAGATAAGCCTTCACAATATCAGATAACTCACAATTTCCTCTCAACAATTTACTGTGCGCAACCTCCCTTTTTAAACACTGTTCCCAGCTGAAGCTAATGAAGGAAATCAGGGCCCTGTCCTCCCCCATAAGCCACGCAACTCAAGTTGTTCCCTTCTCTGTTCCTCCCTGCGTGCCCTAGGATGAAGAGGGGGTGGATCTTCTCTGAATTCCCTCTGCCTTGCTCTTCCTCTCCCCTGCTCTGCCAAGCCGGACTTCCCCAGTTTATTCCAAAGCCAACGGAGCCACACTCCCACTCCCTGTCAGCTGCTCGGCCTCCACCTCGGAATCAGATTCCAACAGGGGCATGAGACTTACTTTTCAGATCTTGACTATCAAGTGATGGATCAGCTGAAAAATTTAGGATGAGAAAAATCTGAGATTTTATGATCCCTTTAAACCAATGTTTCCAAAGACTGCTACAGCAATTTCCAAACCTATTTGGAGCAGTAACAAAGAGAATCAGCATTAACCCTCCTCATATGACCTGCCAAGCAATATCCTCTCAACTGGAATATTGGAGAGTTCACCCCACAAGAAATCCCACCCACCTACCCCAACCAACCACTTCCCTTCACATTTACAAATTACATTGTGATTTTAAAAATAATTGTGACAATTTCCTGGGGCCGGGGTCAGAATTCTCTGTCTTCCTCCATCTACTTAGTTCAAAATACCAGTGAAACACTTACCATTACTATAGCAGTCAGGGAAACTTAAGATATCTGTATCTTTTTTTAAAATACTAAATTTGTTAGATTATATGCAGTGGTGTGATTCAGCTAGTTTGCATAGTTTTTGGCAAACGGTTGTTTAATTACCCACTCCCTGCTATCAAAATGGATCCTGGGTGCTGCGCTGCAATGGAGAAACAGGCAACGGAGCAGCCAGTGCAAGAGAAGAAGGCACTTTCCCTCTTTCTTCTCCCTGCTCCTCCTCCTTCCCTCATGCTGGCTGCTCCATTGCCCATTTCTTCATAGCAGCACAGCGCCCAGGATCCACTGTGATAGCGGGACCGGGGGAGGGTTAACAACTGGTTTACCCAGGGACAGGTTGGCCATCACAGGAGGCTCATCCCACATGTACAGTGGAGCTGGAGGACAGGCCACACCTCCCATGACAGCCAAACTGACCCTGGGCGAACCAATTGTCGTCCAAGTAGTATAAGGCAGGCCTGAACTTTCAGCCATATTCTCCTTTAATGTTGTTCCTTGATCAAGGGTTTTTCTTCCTCCTTCTTTTAATTTGATTTCATTCTTGTGAATGAAACATTAAGAATGTTTGTTCTTGCCATAACGCTGTTCCTAGATCTGTATCAGCTTTATGAGGACTTTATGACGCTCTCTAAAAATTATCTCCAAATGTATTTCATTTCTTGTTCTCCATAACTGGCAAGACATAAAGAATGGGCTAAAATAATATTATCCTTTGTGCAATGTATAAAATGACTGTAGGGACCGTTGTCAGAGATAATACTGAAAATACATTTTGTTGTGTGGGTTGTATACCAGTATGAATTGCTAATCTAAAAAAAGGTAAATGAGAAAATGGTAATTAGTAATTTAACTGATGGATTATAATTGAATAATCACATTCCTGTGAAATGTTATCATAGCTGCAAATTATACTATGGCTTTAAAGTAAGAGTGGATTTGCAATACACAATATAATGGGTTTTAAGTATCAGGAGAAAACTATAGTCCACTTCTGCCATCTTGTGCTCAAGGTTGGAACAAGTCTTGCCATCAAGCAAAATTTAAGGGAAACAATTTAAAACATTCACACTGGACATAAAAAGAAAAAACTATAAAATAACAAATGGAATCTATCAAGCAGGAGAACTGATTGAACTTGCCAACTGAGACAATCTCTGGCAAATCTGATCAGTTGAGTTGGCGACATACTACACAATTTGCTATGTGAACTAATCACAGTGGCAAGGTGGGAGCAGTAGGAAAAGATAAATGAGTATAAGTTAGGAAAAAGGAATCTTTCAAATTTCATTATGAGTTCTGTATCTTTTTCTGAATAATTTTAGCATTTATTATCCCAAAATTAATAGGGCATTTACCTCACAGAAATGTGTTGAATTGGACTTGTTTAGGTTTCAGTATTGGAACAAGTGCTAAAATAACAAAGCTTGCTTCTCAGCTACTGAAAATTGCCAATCTCTTCATACCAAGTAATCACAGTTGTTATATGGTTCAGGATAGTGTCCATTTTGATTTATTAAGCCTTGGTTTAATATTATTTAACATTTAAAGTTTGATTTTCACTGTTATGGCTTACTCTATGTGGTTTATTTGAATTGCTTCCTCTCTTCTCCCTCTTTTTTTATCCACTACAGAGAAGCTCACTCAGATAAAATGGCCAAGTATTATTGCGAGTAATCACATCAACTGTTCCTATCTTCACATCCTTTATACGTCATGGGACCTGATGGCAATTTCCTAACTACTGGAGTCCTTCATATCATTGTATGGGGTAGCTTGGGAGCCATGGCAGTGCTTCTGGTATTTAGTTTTCTCCTCTTTCTCTGCTCTGGTTGTGACAGGTAAGGACTTAGTCAAAAAAGAAAGAACGGAAATATAATTACTTTGGAAAGCTATTAGCCAATAGGTGAAGGGCAGGCAACAATCTATTCTGAGTTCCATTCAGGAACATTGCAATTTCTTTGTGTAAGGAATAAAATATATCCAAGGGAAATATTATATTGTGGTTCCTTACTAGGAGCATAGAATCCTGCTTATTGGTGGAGTGGGGGAAAGCAAATAAACCCAGGAGCCGTGGTAGCAGTTTTTCCAATTAACAAATTTTAATTCAACTTCTCAGAACACTCCATAACAAACCTCAGCGTGGCAATCTTATGAAAACAGCAACAACAACAATAAATTGATGAACATCAAATTTTAAATCAAAAGGTTTCAAGAACTTTCAGAAGATTTCAGCAAACTAATGAGTTTTTAATGTGTAACAATGGTTAATAGTTACGATACCCATAATTTGTCTTACATTTCACATCTGTATAACCAATCTAGTTTCCCCTCTCTTCACTTTCTCCCCCCACACACATACACTTTAAATCCTATATCATTTTAGTTGCTCTGTGCAACTCTGTGCCCTGAGGAAAGAAGCTGCAGCTCACAAAAGTTTGTGCCTTTTAATAAAAATTTCTTGGACAGAAATCCTTCTGCCAGGCCTCTGATTTTAGAGTAACATTGCTGTTCTGTTATAAAAATAAAATATAAAATATAATAAAATATTTAAATACATAGAAAATAGCAAGAGCTATGGATAATTTAAAACAAATGTTTAGCATTTTTATTTGGCTATTATCTATTCATAAAACCTGATCAAGAATTTCAAAAGACTTTGGCAAAGATTGTGTAATCCATTTCCATCCAAAGGAAAACAAAATGACACCAAGAATTTCTGAGCAATGCAGAGATTAATGTGTTCACTTTGACATGTGCTTTCTTAGCAGCTAATAAAAGAATTGTCCTACTTATAAAATTATATGAGTACTATAAATGTTTTCAGATTGTAGAACTTATTTTTGGTTGTAGTCAAAAAGCTCAAGTTAAAACAATCAGCTGCTCTGTGAATTATATATATCATCTACTTCTTCAGAATGAGAAAGTTCTCCATTATATTATCTCATAGTAGAAAGAAATTAATAACATTTCCTATGAGATTTAAGAAATGAAGATTTTTTTGTAGGTACCATTTTGCAGGCCAAAAAATTTTGAATCAGCAACAAAAAAGATTTGGATTTTTTATCCCTGTTCAACACCAGCCAAAAAAAAAGAGAATAGAAAAGAGCATCAGCTTGAACAATATTATTTCATGTGGCATATTTGAAAGAAGAACAATGCAGAATTCAAAACTGAAATATAGTAATAAGCATATCAATCCTAGTCAGAAGTCAGAACTAGTCATAATTTACATTATATAAATCTTATTTGTTGAAACTGATTTGCATTACAGGGAGAAGAGGCCTGAGCAACAAAATGGGGACCATGAAAATCTGATGAATGTGGTAAAAAAAAACTAATAAAAATAGTTATTAAAATGTTTTTTTTCTGTAGTTTGTCTGTAATGAAGGAGAAAGACTGAAATGTGGAGCTGGAGTATTATTTAAGGGTTGGGTATGAATAAATGCTAAGAATGCATTTATGTAATCCTTATACAAAATGAAAAAGATCTTTGCCTCATTTTATAGATGAAAAAACTACAGGGACTACCTAATCAATCTGAGCACAGTTATTTTTATCCTGCGGTATACCCACTTAGTACACCAGTACATGATTTTCTGATCAAAATAGGCACATGTAATAAACAATATAAAATAAGAATTCTGCTGCATACTCCTAACAGAAGGAACTTTCACCATTTGAAAAATGATCTTCAGAATTTCAATAGTATGTTTAATATTTCAATGCACTTTTGACATCATGATCATTCCTTCTCTGCAACCCTTTCAGGTCTGAGGGATATCCGACTGAGTTAAGAGGGATGATCTTTATATGAATTTTTTAAAGTCCATGAAAATACATATTTTTAAAATAATTTTTAAATGATTCTCATTTTGATTTTAATCCCTGATCAGCAGTGTAATCTGTTACTGGTATGGGATGGGGCAGCTATATAAATTGAATACATAAATAATCAGGAACAGATATCTACAAACCTATAATTTTAAAAACATTTATAACAATTTACCTATACACATAAACTTACAAAAAGTGTAAAATTATGAGATATGCATTTTTATAAGCCTCTTTTTTCAAAATGTAGTAAAGAATATTGTTAGATATCTTTGGCAAAGAAAAGTCTTTATTATAGAAACCTTTTCTGAGTTCATTAACATTAGCAATAGACTTATCCACACACTCTTTTCTTTACCCTTGTACATTGAAAAGTTTTTGTCCTTCTCCTCCTCCTCCTCCTCCTCCGATTAAATATTTTTACCATCACTCCTCTTCTTCAGTTAATCTTAACATACAAATCTCCCCTAAAACTCCAAGGACAATAAAATAAAATACAATATGTACGATAAAAAACAATACAACAAAACTTTTGTAAAGCTTGACTTGTAACAATGTAACTAGAAAGTTTTTCACGCTTCTCTTGGACTCTGCCTGGATCTCCTCAAGGAAGATACTCACAGTTTGGGAAACTCTGTTTTATACACAGATTAGCAATGTGAGTTATTCAGTTTAGAAGGCCCTTACTCTTACAGTGTTTTCATTTTTTTGTCTTAAGTACTGTCTGACTTTTTTTCCTAAGGAGAGATGAGAATAGTTCTGAGATTCAGACCATCTACAGATCTTCTGTAGCTATTTGATGTTTTTTCAATCCTCACTACTAGAACTCTAACCTTAACATCTATCAATCTAGCTAGCTAGTTACCATCAATCATAAAATGGATGTTCATATCTGACCAGTTTTTTTAAATCCACATTTTGTTTTTCAGCCTTCAGATAAAGAGGCATTTAGTCACTCTGTCACAAGTCTGGCTACAGATCCAATTGCAAGCAGTGAACAAAATGGTGGACTCAGTAATGGAGATGGTAAGATTATCATTATGTGATTTCTCAGCACTTGATGACTCATCATAAATATGTACGTTGCTGATGTAAGCTGACAATCCTGATTTCATTTACAGTAACTATTGTTACAGAACAGCAGTAGTTCAGATAAGAGGATAAATGTCAATTTAAGATAGCTGGCTAGTACAAATCAAGAACAGCTGGCTCACGACCTTGGACAGTACTATATGATTTGTGACTTGAATTCAGCTAGCAGTCCTGTAGTTCTTAGTACTGTAGGAGAACCCTAACTAGTGCAAAAACTCAGTTGTTAATAGTTAAAAATAATTTTGATAAAATGACTAGTTTAGTCATTCCTTTGGAAATAGTTAATAAAACTAAGGGTGTTCTTATTCCCTACTTGAAGTTGAATGGGTATATAGCTCCAAATAGGATTCTACTACAGATGAGACTTTGACTAGCCTTATAACAATATATGAAAAATGATCAGATGAGAGTAGAGAAAAGCTACAGAAATTGGATCATAAAAAGAGGAAAAGCCTAGTTTCAAAATAACATAAAGCAATAATCAGATGGCACTAACTCAACCCTGGGTATCTTCAACAGTAAAACAGTATATCCAGTTCCCAAATCTTGTAGGTGATCCAGAAGCTAAACATAGTCAATGATATCAAATGCTTCCAGAGAGTGAAATAGTACCAGCAGAAAAGTACCACCCCAGGTCCTGACAGGCATCCACCAAAGTGATGAATGCCATTTCTGTCTCAAGTCCAGGCCTGAAACCTGATTGGAAACCTAACTGTTTTCCCTAGGGCACTCTGCAGCTAAACCCATTAGAAAAGAAAGGTTGGATTGTTATTCACTAGTCCTAGATCCAGAGAATTTCTTTTCAATGAGAAAAGCACTTACTTAAAATTAGCAAGAAATTGCTTAAAATTAGCCAGGAAAATCCCATTCACCAATAAGGTATCAGTAGTTTCATGGATCCTGTGATCTGTTTTTGTCTCTTCTGATCACCCAGAGGAACTCAGGTCACGTTCAAGTCCATAGAGAGTGTCTTATACTAGTGAAATATCAATCACAGTATACAAGCCAAAATGAATCCTAGATAACCATATAAGGCACTGTTCCAGTCACCACTACAGATCCTGCCAATAAGAAATAAGATTCTGGTGAAGTTGAGCGACTTTGCATCAAAATGCAAGGGAAATTGATCTCAGTAACTAGGAAGCAAATTCTCTTTCCCCTTTTTAGTAGCGATTGAGTGGTGTTAAACAGAGTTACTGACCACAATACAATAAAAATGCCAAAATTTCATCTTTCCAACTACAATTAACAACTTTCACACTTACCCATTCATTCTAAAATCTTTTAGCCTATCTTTCATCTACCAATGTTGTCAGTTCTATCCATTCATTCTCTTTTTGACCAAACAGTCCAACCTCAACCTTCCATAGCAGTTGGAAACATGCTGCAGTAATGTCAAAGAAAAACAGATCCAATACCAAACAAACTTCATGTGACCCGAAACAAAAAAATCCAAATGGAGTGAAAAATAATAAAGTTAACAAATGAAGAAAAAACCAAATATAAACCAAAATAAACTTATATTAGTATTTTCAGTCTGGCAGCCAACATGTTCCTTATATGCCAATGTCTTTTTTAACAATACAGATACATTGTGTAATATAGATTAATGGCCTTATGAGCCTATACTTAAATATCTATGCAACTTTCTTCTAGTTCTTTCGGAAGATAGTACAGCTGCTTCTCTCCAACCTTACGAAGAAGTGCAAACCTCTGTTACAGATCTTTTGGATCAACAGGACACATTGGGAAGATCTTTAAAATGTCATCAAAGTAGAGAGCTACCTAGCATTCCTCCAAATAATGCCATGGAAACAATTCTCACCACAAGAAATGCAGAAAATGACCAGAGTTTGGGAATGGAGGGGCCCTATGAAGTGCTGAAAGATAGTTCCTCCCAAGAGAACATAGTAGAAGACTGCTTGTATGAAACAGTGAAGGAAATTAAGGACCTGGCAGCCAACTCAGAGAAATGCAAACCAAAGACTACTGTAATGGTTAACGGAATTTTAAATCATGTCCTTGAGAAGAAGACAGAATCAGCAGAATATGCATCTGTTGACAGAAATAAAAAAAGTTGCCACAGTGTTAATTCAGAGAGTCCTCTTAGCAGCACTACTCCAGATGTGGAAGAAGATGCTCCACCTCCTGTACCAATAAAACTTCTTGATGAAAATGAAAATGTACAGGATAAAGGAGCCAAAGAAGAGGAGGAAGTAATGGAAAGGCTTAATGAACCCGACAAGGTATGGGTTATTTTGTGTTATTAGTATAAGAAAGTGAAGTTGTAATTTGAAAGACTTGAAGTATGTATGTATGTATACTATGACAAACGATGTTGTTCATTAATAAATATAAATGTATAGTTAACTTTTTTCTCTTGGTATCTTCTGCTGATGCCAAATCTTAAGATCAAAACTAGCAGTATTTATGTGATTTATGTATAATATGTGATTGTTCACATGTGCATTCATAAATGAAAGATAATATTCAAGTGGTGAAAGGAAGGCATGGAATCATATGCAGTTGGTGATAGTTTTAAGAGTACTGACAGCTTCCTAAAATTTTAGGCATTTGCATGAATGTTTTTTTCAGCATCTACCCAGGAGACACATGCTTGCCAACTGATCATTAATTAGTCTAATTAATCTGTCCCTTGTTTTGAAATATTCCAGATAATCTGCATTGGGAGCAGAAGGTATTCAAAGTGTTACTGTTGGCCAACATCTAGCTAGCCAATAAAAGGCAAAATGTAGGAGAGAAGAAAATCCTGGGGTGGAATAAAACTGAATTTTGGTAATGTGATATGGGTTTTTTTTGCTCTCTCTCCTCTGCAGTCTCTCAAAAACCTTCAACATTTGTTCCAGAAAGACAGAATGACTCACGGCCTACTGTTTTCATTACTGCTCATGAAAACTTGCAATTGGATTTCTCCCCTGGGCTCCAGATTTCTGATCTAATTTTAGATTTAAGTGTATCCACAATTTTAATTTGTAATAAAAACAAAGAACTTTCTCTAGTTCTTGACACAAAGGTCCAACTGCTTATAACAGCATGAATTTCTATTAAGTAGATTATAGATCAAAATATGTCAAGTATATCAGTTTTCAGAAATGCAATCTGTCACATTTTAAATAATATTAAAAACTAATTTGAATAACTCCTTAAAGAGAAGCAACAAATGAGGGAGTTAATTATCCCTACAATTCTATCCAGGACAGTGGCTTACCAATGATAAACAAATCAGTGGTGTTTTCCTGACCCAGATTTTCAAATTGTGCAATTATAATGCTGAGGAGGAGGATGAAGATGATGATGACAACGATGATGGGGTATTTGCTGGAAAAAAACCTTATTTGTTGATAAACAATTCAAAGAATTCACTAGTACTATCCAAGGGATTGGAAAATGCTCATGTCTTATTCCTTTCTTTTCTTCCATTCCACAAACAATTAATCTTAATAAAATTATCATAGAAGTAAAACTAAGTCAAACTGTTAGCTTGTTTTTTCCAGATCCATTGGCCAAAGTTCATGGTGGGATGGGGGTAGGAAGGAGGAGCTAAGCACACAAACACAGAGACAGGAGGTTTACTTAGTATTATATTTAAAGTATTCCAAATTTCTTAACCACAAAAATTTAAAAGTTAAAAAAATAGAACTAGTATAAATTTGTTTGCTCCAGTTCCATGAATGCTTATCAATTGTTAGTCATCCAAACTGGAAAAATACTTTTGGAGTTATTATTTCAAATATTCAAAAATGTATTAATAAAAAATACAAAAATAGAAAATAACAGGGAAATAAGGGAGGAAAAAGAGAAGAGAAAAATGTAGGGTAAAGGGGAAAAAAGAAAGAAAAAGCATTGACTTCTGACTCCTTTTGGTGCAGTAGAATGAGATAACAGCATCAGACCTCAAGTTTTTACTTTTATATAACAATACAAATTAGTTATATATATCTAACAGACCTATCTAATCGACAAAACCCAAAATCAAAGTTTCATTTTTTTTCACCTCGAGCACAAAGTCCAAAAGCAATTTCGAAGTAGAAACAAAGTTAATATTGTTGTTTTTAAATCAGAGCAGTCAATTTGGTCATCTCGGCATCTTTCCATCAACATTTGTAGCCATTTTTACATTATAGGAATCAAAGTGTCCTTCCATTTTTGTGCATAAAGTAATCTTGCTGCCGTCAATATACGGCATATATAGCATTAAAGTTCCATCCCCCCCCCACACACACACACCAATCTTCTACCATGGAGTTTTTAACTGTTACTTTTCCTTAGCTATTCCAGATACCGTGCTTGACTTAATTAGTTATTTATACTATTGACTATTTGTTGCTAAAGAATAGAAAAAAGGAAATTCTCAGTTTCATTGAAGCTCTCCACATTTATAGCCTTCTACTTATTCCTCCTCTCCATTCTTTAATCTTTAAAAAGTAGAATAAGTCTTCTACTTATTCCTCCTCTCCATTCTTTAATCAGTTGAATCTCTTCTTTTATCCTGTACCTGCTTGATTTGCTGAAGAATTTCTGATGAAGGCTTTGTTTGAAAACCTTTTGAAAATCTAGATGATCATCTATCAATCTGAAAAAATAGCAAGACACTTCTCTTTCAGATTTTTTTCCTTTTCAGCAAATCTTGATAATTTTATCTTTGATAAGTGTTAGGGATATACCCTAGCAAGATCTGCAGGGCAGTCAGGCAGGCAGGCAAAATATGTGAGATAAGTGTTTTGTAGCTTACACACAGTAAAACAGAGGGCACAGTGCTAATTAAATAGTTTTATTCCAGCAAGAGTTAAAGCATAGTCAAAACAGTCCATATATCATTCACTTAGTTCAGTCCGTCCAGGGATTATTCATTTGCAAATTCCAGTGTCAAAAAAGAGAGGTCAGTACACTTACAAATATCAGTCCGGTGATTTATCTCCTTGCAGTAGAGAGATATGAAGAAAAAACTCCTCTCTTCCTTCAGCAATTCTTCAGTAGGGGAAACGCAGCTAACAAACCATCAACGTAATCCAATCCAGTAATTGTGGGTAATTGCCAGCAGACCGTCAGGGAATCGTCAGCAATCAATCAGGTTGTCTTGCTCCCTCTTATGGTGGTTTCACACACCACACCCAAAATTACATGCTTTGCATTTAAAGTGACACACACTTAAACTAACAATCCTAGCTTATATATATTATTTTACCCAAACTAGTTAGGTGACCTATGTTATACCTAACAATAATAGGTTGCTAATAAATTTCAAGGGATTAAGTTAACTTGCCCTGATGCATTTTAAAAATCACTGTGACATTGCATACTTTCTAGTACCCTGGGAAACGTTTGGAAAGAGCAATCTGTTTTCCAATCTTGCGTCTTCTTCCTTAGGAAGGAGCTGTAGTTCAATGGTCGATATAGCATATGCTTTGCATCTTCCTAGAATTGGGATAGTTGGAACAAATTCAGGGCAACTTGTAGAATTGCTGCAAGTCACTGAAAAAGAAAATGATGACCAAGATATATGATATACCAGTAGTCTTGATAGCATAAAAAAGCTTGAGTGAGAGGATGGTTCTGCATATCTTGAAGGATGCATCATGGTATGCCTCTTCTTCAGGAAGCCGCAGCTGGACCCAACAAAATTTTTGTCCCATCTCCAACCATCCCTCTCTAGGAAAGATGGTTGAAAAGATGGTCAGATTGCAGTTTCAGATGACCCTGGAAGAAGTGGATTATCTAAACCTTTTCAGTTAGGATTCAGGTTGGGGATAGAATAGAGATAGTATTGATTGCACATCTCAATGCTTCTGACCGAGCTAGTATACTGTAGCTGTGGTGCAGCTGCTCTGGTTCTTTTTGCTTTCCTGCCATCTTCTTTCATTATGTATTTCTGCACTGACTGCAGGGAGTAGGAGTGGGAGACATGGTGATTGGTGATTGTTTACCATTCTCCATGGCTAGTTACAGTGAGTGGTGACAGAGTGTGGAGAGGTTAAACCAGAACCCTATGTTTTGTACGGTGCCACAGATCTCTACATATTCCCTTCCTGTTTAAGATCTACATGGGGATGCTGAGGGATGTCATCTATCAAGATGTGATCAAGTATCATCAATATGCTGATGATACCCAATTATATATCTTGATCCTGGCACGACCAAGGAATGCTGTGGATGTCTTATCCCAGTCTCTGAAAGCTGTTAGGTCTTGGATGAAAAGGAAGGCTTAAACTAAACCAAGTAGTTCTGTGTCCCTTGGATTTTCCATCCTTGGTTCTGAATGGAGTACAATTGTGCACATTGGTGCACAATTTGAGTTGAAGCTTTTACCTGTACATTCAGTGGCAGCTGTGGCCAGGGATACTTTTGCCCAGATTTATTTGGTATGCTGGTTCTGCTCTTTCCTTGTGTGATAATTCCTTTTCACAATTAGTCCCAACCGAGTCACCTCATGTGTAGACTATTGTGTTGCATGCTACATGAGGATGCTACTGAAGATTAATCAGAAGCAGCTGGTCCAGATACTGGCAATGCAGATAGTTATGGGAACCCCTTGTTGTGCCCATGTATAACTTCTGCTGCATGAGCAGCATTGCTTCCACGTGCAATTCAAGCTGCTAGTTGTAACATTCAATATAAAGCTTTTGGCAAAGGACCTTGCTATTTGAAGGACTGTCTTTCTTCTATTACTTCTGCTTGTCCAGTAAGGTCTGGCTGAGTGACCATGTTCCAAGTCCTTCTTTAAAATAATGGCACTTACCCAAGTGGTTCACATTGGCCCAACCTTGCTCTTCTTTAAACAAGCCTGGAAGACTTGGCTTATTTCCCCTGATTGATGAAGTGCTTTCTCTGAGAATATTATTAACGTACTAGAAGTATGAATCTCCAGGTTATTGTTTTCCTTTTGCTTTTATTGTGCTGGATGTATTTTTAACTTGAATGACACCCTAAAGTCCTTATGAGTTGAACAGCCATATAAATCTGATTTATAAATAAGCAGGTGATTCTGTTAAGACAGAGAAGCATTTGAAAACTGAAGCATAAAAATCATTTGGGAGAGGTCAAAAGTTTATCAATTTTGTCATTCTGTAAGCATTCATTAGTATGATTTTGCGCCCTTCCCCCCCAAAACCCTACAAACTGGAAGTGTGCCTGCCTCTTGTTTCTTTACAGCTCTAACCAGATTTGGCCCATTTACAAACTCGATCTTTCTTTTGACAGCTTCTCCTACCACTCCAAATTAACCATTCAATTCTGTTTCATTTTCAGAGGTTATCCTGCTGAGAGACAGCCAGAAAATGGGAGTCTTGAACCCATTCCAAATAGCTGCATTCCAAATATTGGCAATGTGTCGATTGGCAATATTTTTGTATTAATAACAACAAAAAAACCCACCATGGATTAAATGAAAAGGCCTGGGTTTACTTGTATTTTTACTGTATTGTTTGGGATTCCTTTCTTTCTTTATTTTCCTTCCTTACCTTCCTGCCTCTCTTTCTCTGTAGAAAACAGCTGTTTTCTTTTGAGTACTTAATTGTAATTTACATCATAATATAAAGTTCAAATTGTCTCAGGTTGAGATCATCTTATTTATGGACTTCTAATGCACCATTATGTTATCCAAATACTATATTGCTTGCTAGGTTTCATTTTATGTTTTTTTTTCTCTAATTGTTTTTTGTATTGTTTTACAATTTTATATTGTCATTTGGGTTCTGTAAAAAAAAAAGGATAGAAATAAAATTACCAAAAATCACAGCAAGACAAACTGCTGTGAACAATTAATTATGTTCTGAGTTGGGCTATCAAATGAGTAATAGAACAAAACTTGGACATTTTGACAGAGCTAAGAAAGTACCACTAAATAATATTGATCATAGAATTCAATAAAAACGCAAAGGAAGTTCCTACATCAGTCAGAAACTTTGTTTCAAATACTTAAATATAGACTTATGCTATCTTAATCACATTTCAGTGGAAGTTCAAACATTTGAAAGAATTCAATGGAACAGATGTCAGTACCATTATTTTTACCACATGTAAAAATTCTGTTTCAGTCTGCTTATCTTCAAAAGTGGGCTATTAATTTCATCTAATGAAAAATGGACAGATGTACCATGAAACGGGAAAATATGTTTTCATTTATTCTTTTATTTTTGTACTGAGGAAAGTGTTAGCTTTTAAATAAAATGTTATATTTTATCTTTTTCAGAGGCTTAGTTCATTGATTTATAAATCTCGAGAAGATGACCCATCTCTTACAGAAGATGAGGTGAGTCTATCTTGTATGAAATATATTCAGAAAATGTTACCTGAATAAATCAGTATTAAATGTTCTTTGATTAAGAAGATCTGAAAATGACGGTTCAAATGCAAGCCGGATTAAATGATTATTTTTGCCAAATGCCTTTATATTAGTTTCAGCTTTTCATAGTGGAACTATTTTGGGTCACTGACTATTATTTGGGACTCTCTTCTTGGCTATTTAAGAAGAGCCAACATTGATATGGATGTAAGCCCATATAAATATCTGAAGACTGTACACATTAAATTGTAAATGATCCTGAGTCCTGACTCCATCCCTTCATATCACATGATAAAACTGTCAGGACTGGGAAGAACTTTTAAAATGGGGTATAATATGATAAAAGGATTTATATGTAAACCAAAAAACATCCTTATTGCAGGAAAGGAAAATTCTTTAATTTTGCAACATATAGACAAATTTAACCATAGTTTCAAATGGTTAAGTGGGAAAGTGTGACCATCCTGGACCAAGCCAAGTCCAAAAATGCCAGGGAATTTCTAGAAGCCTGGCACTCTTGACAAATCAGTCATCAATAGACACATAGACATTAACAACATCTATACAAAAGCAACTATAAACCAGCCGAAAAAGGGGGGGAGACCCAGGCACCTCTCCATCAGCAATAAGCACCCAAATCAGCATAGATTAACTCCAAGGTTAACATTAGACCAACAATCAAGTAAACACTACCCCAATCAAGAAACTGCTAATGAATCTCTAAGACCACTCCCACCAACACTGACAGGCAAAGCACTAGAACAGGGGTGTCAAGCTGGCGGCTCACAAGCTGGATGCATCGTGCATAGGCCTTGCCCACCCCACCTCTGCAAAGGTAAAAAAGTCATAATTCATCACGTGATGTGATCGAGTTTGATACCCATGCACTAGAATATAAACAGGCAACAAGCTGCACTCCTTACTAGCACTGTTGATGCTACCTAGTTTGGGTGGTGAAATGTCTACAAGAAAACAAGCAAGCTCAGAGAGCACCAAGGACCCCTCATTTCAATCCTGAGCTACAAATATTCTTTATTGGTATCTTAGGTCTATTTAAGTCTAATGAAGAATGGAGCATATATGCTTCTGTCAATTAAGTTACTCAAAATAATAAATAAGTTTTTCCAAACCATCAACCAAAACATTGTACATTGACCTCCATTCTGTGAACATTTTATGAAGACCCCTTTTTTACTGCAAGCAACATTGAATGCTTACCACACTATTGCTTTTCAACGATGTGGTAAATTTATCATGCCTTGCAGTTTTTAATGGCAAATATTACATACATTTTACAAGGCGGCTTTTTTCACTATGGATAATGGATTCATTTTAATAGCCCTTGTTTTGTTAGATCAAATATCTCATATTGAAATAGACTACTTGTGCTACTATATTATTCACTGAATATGGAAATAACACCATTACAAAAATATTTGTTGCATTTCAATGCAATTACTGTATTTCTTTCCTTCATAGATTTCAGCAATGTATTCTTCTATAAATAAAACAGGACAACCCTCTAGAGACTTGGAATCTACATATACCTGTATTCCTGAACTTGTACCTCAGAAGTCTCCATCTATTTGCAGTGGCCTCTATGCCAGTGTAAAGGACTTGGAAACAAATCCAAACCTTACTGATTTGCCTCAGTCAACAATACTTCTAAATGGGGACTTGGAACCAGACTATGAAGCAATTCAAACTCTAAGTCGAGAGGAGGAAAGAAATGTTTTGATGTCTAGCACCATTCAAACCATCCTCCCACAAGAGAATGACTATGAGAGTATTGGTGATTTGCAGCAAAATAAAGATGTCACCAGGCTTTAACTGATTCAAAAGCAAGACTTCGGAACATGCTGTCTTTAAGATGGGTTTACTCCATGACGTATCACTTGCAAACTTAACACACATTTGGAAATGTAAGATGGCCAAAAAGTATTTTGCTTGACATGATGTCAGATGATGTCAAAACTTAGCCTGGGATGTTTGAACAATGATTCTTGCTTCATATCCATCAAACTATCATACAGATATGAACTTACCCTAACAAGGCAAGTGCTCCTTTTGAAGAACCAAGATCACATGGATGAAAAACACACACACACAAAACAAAATTGCTGCTGTTTCATCAATGTGTACAGTGATTTTTCTACTCCCATATGTGATGTTATCACAACAACATATAGATAAAATCAGAATCAAATATGATCCTGGAAATGCTTCTATAGAAGAGACATGTTGAACCAAGAACGACATGTTTGGAGCACACGTTCAGACACATACTCATATCCTAATATATAAAAGTGGTACTGTCAAATAAGGGCCTTTTTAAAAGATCTTTACTTTCAGTTACTTCAACCATTTTATTAAAATGTATTCCCAAATTACAAATTCATTTAGGTTGTTTTCAAACATAGGCACAGCTTGCCATAAAAACTAGATAAATTTAGTGGGCTAATTTGCTTTTAATTCATTGTTTCTCAACCATGGCAACTTTAAGCTGTGTGGATTTCAACTCCCAGAATTTCCCAGTCATCAATAGGAAATTTTGAGAGTTGAAGTCCACACAGCTTAAAGTTGTCAAAATTGATAAACATTTCCCTAATAAATTTAACGCAGCCATGAGATGTTGTGCGTGAATATGTTGGCCTATTCTCAGGTTCATGCTTCAGCTTTGATCTTGCTCTAAAGCAGGGCTGTCAAACTCGCACTGGTCATGCTCAAGCCCAGTTTAGCGAAGGGGGAAAAAGTTGCAATACATCACATGACAACGCCATGACAACACGAGTTTGACACCCCTGCTCTAAAGCAATACAAGAGCAGGGGGTGAAACACTGGCATTTGTGGGAATTAGGAAAGACAGTCCCTTTGTGAGGAGCTACGAAGAAGAAAGCATGCACATCTTTGCTTCGTGTGTGATTTGCAGACTGGCTTTGTGTGTGATTTACAGACTATAATTCCTGACTATTTCTATAGTTTTTCAATTTTGTAATTTTCTTTCAATATAATATTGTGCTAGGATTGATTTACATTTACTGATGGTAAAGTCAGGATATTTAAAAATATATTTAATACATATACACGTTCTACTTTTCAAACACTAGCAATCACTTTCATTTTTATCCTTAGTGTATTTTGCACCCTGCCCAAACAAGCTGCAACATTTTGCAGAGATTATAATTCTGTCAGAAACAAAAATGCATCTTTAAGAAGTATCTTTTTATGTAAAATTGTAAATAAAAGGTAAGACATGTTATAGCCTTGAGTTATTTAATGAAGTGTTCAGGATATTTGAGTCTAAAAAAGCCTAAAGAAAATTGTTTAAAAGAAAAAAAATAATACAAATAAAGGGAAATCGTGTTATTCTTAGTAATCTACAATTTTAGATATTCTCATAATCACTCTTGAGAATATTCTTGTTCATTTGTTTAATTTTGATTTGCAGACAACTCAAGATAGCTACTGCCACTGAATCATTTCTTTTATAGCGAGGGAAGATTTCAGTCAGTTTTGAACCAGCAACCATAGAAACACAAAACAACAGACCTTTCTTGCAAAGATTGTAAATTCCACAGTATTACCAAAAAAGTGATACTGTGTTTGGTTTTTATAAAGATTAGTGCCAATACTTAGCATGTGACTTTCCTCTAATCCATTTTACCAAAATAGCATGTGTGAAATTGTACTTTGCCTTCCAGTCTTCTTTATATTTCCATTCCCTTTCTACTCCTCAGATTTATTCAGTTTATTTACATAAATATATCTTACAGCATTGAAAAATAAATACATATACTAGAGCTTAAGATTTTGAATCAGATTGTCACTTTATTCAACCTTTGTTAAGCACCACAAGATGTTTAATCTGTTGCTTAAAAGCAATAAATATGGCTGACCTCTGGAAACTGATCCACACAATTTCCAAAGGATGTGACATTTAAAGATGTCCTGCATAGATACTTGTAGAACTAAATATCACTTTATGTAAAAGAAAACTGCATGTCTCCAACATTCAGAGGGAGCCAACATCCTGTAAGGAGCTTTATTGGGAATAATGCAGCTTTTTGAAAGAAAAAATGCATATTAATTTACTGAATCTGTTGTATCAGATGTGTGTCTTTATGTTAAATACTACTATTTAACATAAAGTTGATTTATAAGCCTACAATATAAAAGTAGTTGTATGAATATTAATTCCCATTAAAAAGTTGGATTATCTTTATCAGAATAACCTGCCATGGAAATTGAGGGCCTAGTGGTCACAGAAGCTTTGTCTTTATTTTATTATATTAGTTTTAAACTGAATTAAGTCTTCATCTTAAAAGTTGTCACATGGACATAATTTCATGGTCTTTTCTTGAGGTTGCTCATTTGTTGGAATTGGACAGTTAGCCTCAAGGACTGAGTGACAAATGTGTGTGTGTGTGTGTGTGTGTTTAGCATTTAGGAAATTTATTTTCCGAAGTTTTTCATTGAAGTTCTGCATATAATGTATGTCCTAAGGTGTTGGGTTACATTTCAATATGCTGTTTCACATGAACACTTCATCCCTGCTGGGTTTAAAAAAAATACTTGGGTGGGCGGGCTAAATTTGAAATAACCACCTCCTACTAAGCTTTCAGGATACATGTATACTAATACAAATCATAATTCTGTGGAGAAATTCTGGATCCCATCAATCTTACACTTGTGAAGAATTAGTTTCACCAAAGCCATCTGTTTGAGGAACTTTTATTTTAAAATATATAGCAGAAAGTATTTGTGAACTCATCTTCCAGAATAAATATATTCTCCTACGTTGTAATATGGCAGTAGGCAGCTTATTCCTTTCAGCTTAAAAGACTGTGCCTTTACAAATTTACCTTCTATAAAATCTCCGGACAAACACTTCTGACAATAGAAATCTTGGTGCATTCTCTTAAAACTATGGTGCTGTACAAAATTCTTACAAATATTTCATTGTATGTGTTTCTGATAGCTTGTTTGTACTGGTTTTTTTGTTTCTGTTTTTTAAAAGGGAGAGTTTTTTTCTACTAAATTATCTATGTTGCTTAGTTTGGAGTACCTTATTTCAAGGAATGCTTTAGTGCGAGGAGCATCACAGGCATGCTTCTAAAGCACCCATAAAAAGGATAGAAGGGTATTCCTGCTAGGATCTAAGAAGGTAATTGTAAGTATCTAGTGGCAGTAGTAAGAAGCAAAGGAAGTTAATAGTATTGCAGATACATATTTGCTGGCCTTGTGTTACATATGTGATGTGTGTTCTACCTGTATGTTTTGTTTTTTATATATACATGTTTGTTTTTCTTAACAAAAGAAAAATATTTGATTTGATGTTTTGTACTTCTGCCTTGTACCTGGTTTCTGTCAATCTATTTCTGCAAAAGGATATTAAAGCCGAAAGATAATGGATGTCAATATATTGTATGGAGGTTATTGACCAAGTAACTTTTCTTTTAATCTCAGCAGTTTCCTCTCAGGACTGGTAAGATACTACTACACCACTGCAAACAGGCAGCTCTTTTGTGAGAATGATCACTATATTGTCAAAACTCAGCAGCCTCAAAACGTTAGGAACAACCTTGCCTTGGTACTTCTGAAGTCTAATTTGTTTTTGAAATCTAAAAATGCTTTCATTTGAGAAAAGAGTGGAGTGTATCATTAAAGAGTAAGGATACTGCATTTGTTTGCCCAGTTGTAGTTTCCCATCATTGTGTGTAAAGAAATGAATGCAGCTATGAGTGTCTCTGTAGTTTTCTAACTGTGAAAGATTGGATTGCCTCCTGTTTGTATTGAAGATAGTTTCTCTGGTGACAGTAATTATGCAGCACTTTCATGCTTAGAAAAAATATCTCTCTGAATATCAGGTGCAAGGACAAAGCTTGCTCTTTAAATGCCCTTTATCTAATTGGCCACTACTGGCAGACGATAGTCCTTGGTTGGTCCACAAAGATTGTCAATAAGTTCAAAGAGAGGGACAGCTCACTGTACTTAAATTGTTTGTCTTGTAGATGAAACTTAAAATTTAATAGAAGAGGCTAAAAAATGCATTCTAGGAAAATTACTGTTTTTCAATGGTTACTTTTTAAGCATCAGAGGCATGACAAATCAAGAGGAAAGATAATGTGTAAATTATGCTTTGGGATCAGAATGCTTGGCAGGATACTACCTTGCATCATGAAGCTGTCTATAGTATACCAAGTTATTCTCTATATCTTTGTTGCTTAAATTTTTGAAATGATCTTCTGTTATTTATTTTTATAACAGATGGTTCCTGATTGGTCCAAAAAGTGTGGCTCTACATTTAGTTGTCACAGTTTTTAATGGTATAAAATTTTCTCTTTACCTTACATGTTTATCTTATGGATGCCTAAATGCTCATAATAATTCATGTAGTATTCAATATACTGAAAGTAAAAACCAGTAGAAAAACGTGAAAGGTGGACAGATTTTAAAACTGTCAAAGTACTCCTGTTTCTAAAGTCTGATAATAAGTGGTATGCTTCCTTGGAATTGATTGAATTGACAGATGTGTTTGGCTTTTAATTTGAATGATACTAGCTTTTCCTCAAAATGTCATGCTAATATTTTCTTTTATTATATTCCACTTGCTTCTTCTAAACAGAACTGCCAGAATTGCCAGAATTGGAGAACACCAATATCTTCTGCCATTATAACATAATATTTTCAAAATTTGTAAAATTTAGTCTGCCAATGACCTTCCATGTTTTTTTTAAAAAAAACAAGCTGGAACAATCCATCACCAAGACACACAAACACATCCATCTGCAAGCAGGCAGATTTCGATATATAGTCACATGATATTACTATATAGTATCCCACATATATCCACCAGCTGCCTTATACTTTTAAAGAAGTTGGGACTTGAATGATATGCATTTAAGAGGCAGACTAATATTGCTCATGTGTACACTGAATGACTAAAGATGGCTGTACATGTTTCACAAAATAGATTTTTTTAGGAATAGATAAATGGGACGTTGGTCCTACCTGAACGCTTCTTCTCAGGGAGCCGAAGGGAGAATCCAGGATGGGTAGTCTCTAGTCTCCTAGCTCTGCAGACCGAGTTGAAAAACTGAGGACACACCCCCTGGTAACAGTCCCCAGTTCTGAATGACGTTGATGCGAATTCAGCTGCTCCTTGTCCTCAGATAGTTCAGTTGATACTGAGAAAAAAAGGGACATTTCCTCCCTATTCCAACCAGACATAATACAGGGTGGGACTGGATTCTCCCTTCGGCTCCCCGAGAAGAAGCGTTCAGGTAGGACCAATGCCCCTTCTCCACTGAGCCAAAGGGAGAATCCAGGATGGGACATACCAAAGCTGGCTGATGGCTGTCCTACGGTTGGTATCTGGATTGGTCGGAGGTCCCCACCTCTACATGCACACCCTGCAAGACTCGTCTTCCAAAAGACGCCTCCACTGAGGCAAAGGAGTCAACTTTGTAATGTCTTATT